CAGCTCGGTCTGACCTTGACCTCAAACTCAGAGATCTGCTTGCCTCTGCCTCCTGAGTGCTAGGATTAAAGACATGTACCACCAGTGCCTGGCTTAAGGTCCTTGTTTTTTAAGAGTGTGGTTTTCAACAGTCTTTTGAGTTTGTTTACAAAGTGTTTTCATAATCGTGATTGTAAAATCATTTTGGTTTAAACAGGCCATTTTTCCCACTTAGCTATTAGTTTTGAAAGTCATGATATGTTTGACTGTCTTTTGTGGCATTTAGAGCTAATTTTGCCATTAAAGGTTTAATTTACTTTGCTAGTTCTGTTTTCAAATCTTAGAATTTTCTATTTTAAAACAAGTTTTGGTAGGAATATTACAGAGTAAAGTGAATATGACATGGTGTCTCTCTGTCTCATTAGGGACAATGTTGGTTTCTTTTGTTATGTTTTTTGGGATAGGGTATCTATCCTTCTACAGAGCCATGGCTGTCCTGGAACTCACAATGTAGACCAAGATTGCCTTGAACTCAGAGATCTATCCGCCCCCTCCATCTCTATTATGAGTAATGCTAACTTTGTTGACTCAGTTAAATGATAATTGCCAGATTAATTCACTATAAAGTTACTGTGTTAGGGTTCTCTCTAGAAGAATAGAACTGATATATAAAGAAGATTTATTAGAGTGGTTTACAGGCTGTGGTCCAGCTATTCCAACTGTGCCTGTCTATCAAAGGGAGGTTCAGAAATCCAGTAGTTGTTCAGTCCATGGGGCTGGATGTCTCAACTCATTTTGAATATTCTGAAGAAATGGGCTCTAATACCAATAAAGGAATGAACTTGCCAGGGAGAGTGGGCAAAGGGGCGAAGTTCAGAAACATCCTTCTTCCATGTCTTTTATATAAGCTGCCACCAGAAGGTATGGTCCATATTAAAGGTGGATCTTCCCATCTTTAGAGATCCAGATTAAGCTAAACTGGGTGTAGTTTTTAGAGGCAGGCAGGTCTCAAAGCTGAATAACAGCCTATGTGGTCTATACAGTTGAGACCACACAGAAACCCTGCCTCAAAAAAACCAAACCAAAAAGATGCAGATTTTTGAGACAGTCTCCTAGCCCAGGCTGGCTTGGAACTTACTGATGACCTATACTCCTTACCTTCTTACTTCTACTTCCCAGGTGCCGACCTCACAGAAGAATTTCAACCTCAGAGGGTTTTATTTACAAATGACACTTGTTTAAAATAGTGGCCACCTAATTGCAGCCAATGTAAAAAGTTTGCTTTTATGTTCAGTGTTAACATATTTCTCTTTTCTTTCAGCTGGGAATGGAGGAAGAAGATGTGATTGAAGTTTATCAGGAACAAACGGGGGGTCATTCGAGGGTTTAGATAATTCTTTTTATTTTTTTTCCTTTTCCCTCAATCCTTTTTTATTTTTAAAAATAGTTCTTTTGTAATGTGGTGTTCAAAATGAAGATTGAATACTGGCACTCCATCTCTTTAGACCATCTGGTAATCTGAATTCTAGTGTTCAATATTCATTATTGGTTGTTTTTGTTGTGCTGATTTTTGGTGATCAGACCTCAGCTCCCTTAATATTGCCCTTCTTATTTTAAAAATTTCATGTGTGCACAGAGCGGCCATCCTTTTCAGGACTGTGCATTTCAGGTTTGTGATGATAAAAATATCAACTCGTAGGAGCTTTCCTATGACCTCCAATTGGCCCTGAAGCTCCAGCATGCAGTTGCTTCACTCCTGGACTGCAATTTTCAGTAGGAGACGGAAGTTTTTCAGAGAACTCAACTGTGGGAAAATGATCTTTGCTCAGCTTGAAGCTACTTTTGAAATCTGAGGGTCTGGACCAAAAGAAGAACATCACATTTGTAGTCAAGATGACAGATACAGTGAGAGTAACAACTAACTCCAAAGATGGCTTCACTGGAGAGAAAGAAAGCATCCTAAGAGTAAGACAGGTTGTCTGAAGATCCCAGGAAAGCTGTAATTTTCATCAGCAGTTAGGAAAGTTACTCATGCAGAAGTGTATGCAACAGACACTGCTCCTTTTGATTCTGTTTGTACTTTTTGGCCTGGGACATGGGTTTTCAAGGGACATCGTCTGTACCAGCTTCATTAAAATAAATAAACAATATTTGTAAAAACCGTACTAAAGTTCCTTTTATTTTAAGAGTTTTTTAGGGAGAAAAATGAAAATAAGATTTACCTCCCCCGAGTGTTTTTTTTTTTTTTTCCCTCCCCCCGAGACAGGGTTTCTCTGTGTCCTGGAACTAGCTCTGTAGACCAGGCTGGCCTCGACCTCACAGAGATCCACCTTCCTCTGCCTCCTGAGTGCTGGGATCACCTGGCTTGAGTGTATTTCTTTAGTTCTGTATAGTAATGACCTTAATGACTTTGAAGCAATGGAAGTTACAGGAGTACCTTGTGAATCAAGCATTTAGTTACGATCACAATGCCTTTTTAAGAACTGTACTGTGAAGTCTTTTTAGATTGTGCTATTCTTGGATGGTGCACATATGATACCATTACTGGTTTTATTTTTTTCCTTTTAGAGTGCTTTTAAAATCTTAATGAATCACAGAATTAGATATATATGTACATCCAATTTTATGTTAATTCTAAATACAGTGTCACCTGCCTACTTTAGCATATAAACAGTTTGTAAACTTAACAGTTTACATGCCCTTCTCAGGTAACTTGCTCAAAAAATAGATTGCCTGTAACTCTTATATTTGACCCAAACTTTAACATTATTTGTATAGTGCAAATTAGAGTTTTAGACTGTCTCCTGGCATTTTATCTTTATGTTTTGGAAATTGGGTTCAATTGTAGAAAATCTTTGAGTTGATTCATTTGTCAAGACTAATAGATTTTATTGGTTATTTGAGCTCTTCAGAATTCATGAATGTATAGTTCACCATTTTAATTTTTGTATCTAAATGGAAGCTCCTCATCATTTAGTAGTTGAAGCTTAATTGCAGAATAATTTTTGTTTTGGATATTTTTTTGGGGGGGGTCTTCTGTTGGGTTAAAATATGTACTCAACTGACATAGTAGTGCTGTTAAAACAGACACTTGAAGCAAAAATTTAATAGATGGTGTTTGGAAAGGACCCTAAATAGTATTTAGTAGCTACTCCTATCTGGTGCTTGATTGCCACATCCTAAATTTGTAAAAGGGAGAAAAAAAACGAGCAGTAACGGTTTCCTTGCATGTTTATTCTTGAGTGCTTGTTAGATTGGGTACTATTGAATTTGCAAATAGGGTTGACAAGCATCAGAAAAACAGAGTGACATTTAAGTTTACTATGAGTGACATTTAAGTTTACTATGATCTTATCCATAGTGTTTGGCTGTTTTATATCAATTTTACATGAAACAAGGAGTTATTCAATTCCTGTAGTATAGAATGAAAAATTAGCTAAACTTGGAGGTTAGAGAAGTGTGTATTAGTGGGGAATTATTTGTAAATACTGTTTTTTACTTATGGACAGTGTGATGATTAAGTCTTCATTGTCAACTTTCTGGGTTTAAAGTCACTCTGGAAAGACCTCTGGGTGTGTCCAGAAAGGTTTGATGTGGGAATTCCTACCCTGGGTGAGGACACAGCCATTCTGTGGGGACTGAGTAAGGCTAATGTGAGTGAAGGTGCTAGCATTAATCTCTGACCTGACTGCTGATGCATCGGCCAACTACTTAACTCTTTAAGCTGCTTTTTGGTGTGTGTGTGTGTGTGTGTGTGTGTGTGTGTGTGTGTGTGTGTGTGTGTGTGTGTGGTTTGTTGCAGTAAGGTGAAAACTAAGACAAATGTGGATTAAAAGTTAGGCTGTTCTTCCAGAGGACTCAGATCCAATTTCCAGCACTCATATGGCAGCTAACAACTCTAACTCCAGTTCCAGGGGCTCTTTAACATCCTTACATAGACATACATGGCAGGGAAACAAACAAAAACTAATGCACACTAAATACAAAAAATTTAAGGAACTAGCTTTGTAGATCTGACTGCCCTCAAACTCATTTCACCTGCCTCTGTCTCCCTAGTGCTGGGGTTAAAGGTGTGCAACACCACTGCCTGTGATAATTTTGTTAAGAGGGGTGTTTATTAAACATTAAAATGACTTTAAGACTTCTGCTTGGATGAAGTCTCAATTTTATGAATAGGTTCTAGGGACAGTTGGGAATGCAATCTCAATACTTGTTAGTTAACAGTGGAATTTTTGAGGTGATGAAATAGTTCTATTTTTTTTGCTGATGTGGTCCCCGGCAACTACCTTTGGCCATTGAGCATTTAACTGGCTAGTATGAGGGAACAATGTTCTAGCTTTAATAGCTATACCCTTTATTCAAACATGCTGTTCTAGATCTGTGCTTTGAGGACTGAATTTCCTCATGAAACAGCTCATTTTACTCAAGTGAACCTGTATCAAGTGATTCCAAACATCCCTTCAAAAAGACATTTGTTTTAGATTCCAAGGATGAAATTGTAGGTTTTTGCCTTATAGAGGGATTTCTTTTTTGTTTGTTTGTAGTTGTTTGTTTGTTTTTGGAGACATGGTTTCTCTGTGTAACTTTGGAGCCTGTCCTGACACCTGCTCTGTAGGTCAGGCTGACCTCGAACTCACAGAGATCCACCTGCCTCTGCCTCCTAGGTGCTAGGATTAAAGGCATGTGTCACCACTGCCTGGCTAGAGGGATTTCTTAATACTATGATTACTTCCTCTAATCCAATTTTTGCATGACAAAATGTCCAGTCACCATCAACTCTAACACGCTGAAATACGTAGAGTACACTAAGACTGTTAGTGTCTCCAACTTCAACTATGGAATGGTAGGTAGTTTAGGCACCATGGCTTTTGAACTTATATGGTCCTAAAAACAGGATTTAAGTAAGTGAAAAGTTAATTGGGCTCGAATGTGTGAAGTGTGCAGGAATGCTGGGATAGAGAGGATCCAGGGTAAAGAAAATGGGAGGTAGGGTTGAGGTAAGTCAGATGAAATGGAATGAATTGAGCTCAGGCTGGAGTTTTATTATAGAAGTATAGCTTTTTCTGTCACCACATCTTGACTTACTTTTTGTTTGTTTGTTTGTTTTCTTCTAGCCTTATGGCTTGGAGATTTGTAGCAACTGGAAATATGAGTAGACCCATGGTCTGGAAATGTTCTGTGTCCACTGCAGACCACTGGCTTCCTTTAAGAGCTCTTGATGAAAATGAAGATGTTTTTCCAAAGCAGCTTTTTGCCTAAGGAGACAACCCCACCCCCAGTTCCAAAAATGATTAAGCATTCAGTCTTCTAAATTAGAGTTTTGGGTTTGGGTTGTATGATTACCAGATTTGGGCAATTGGTTGTGGGTTTTAGATCATATTCTGTTTAGTGCTTTTCCATGAGAGTTTTGTGGGCATCATGGGATTCCTATAGAAAAGGAATAGTTCCCAGTACTTGGGTTGCTGGAAAGGATTCCTTTGCTTGTTTGCTTGCTTTAGTTTTGTTGTTTTGAGATAGGGTCTCCCTGTGTAGCCCTAGCTGTCCTGGAACTTGGTATTTAGACCAGGCTTGCCTTGAACACATGAGATCTGCTTGCCTCTGCCTCTGCTTACCCAGTACTGGGATTAAAGTGTATTCCCTTGTTTTAGAGATGAGGAAACAACAGAGAAGTTAAAGTACAGAAGGAGATGATGTCACAGAAGGAGATGAAGTAGGCCGTTGGCACTGAGTTGTAGGTCTTGGAGGAATGAGATTACGAATTCTTTAGTTGCTTGGTTTCCTGTCTCAGCTACCTGGATTAGTTTTACATAGTCACTGTAGTATCCCAATAACAATTGTCCATTTTTTTTGGAAAGGTAGGGTTCTAGTAGCTTGCCTTTTGTCTCATTTCTGTTATGATGCATGATATCTAGGCTATTAAAGCTGAATTGGGACTTTTCTAATAACCTACTTTGTAATTCTCCTAACAGTTGAAGAAAATCCGGGGAAGGAACAATTCAAGGTTAATGAAGTCTTGAGAGTCCTGGTGCCTTCTCTTTCTGGACCTCTTAAAGAGGATTATAGATTCAATTTCACTTGTGAGAAATTACAACTCAAGGGGGGAGATGTCTACATTTAATGTTGGAAACATGATTTTCCAGCTTGTACCTCTTCAATTCTGTCAGTTTTGAGACATACTCTGACTGCAGTCTCTCTGTTGCCTCCCAAGTCCTTCAATCATGGTCCTGCACCACCACACCCAGTTCCCTTTCAGTCTTTATAATTGTAAAAGATCCAAATTGCTCTTGGCCCCAGGTAACTCACTTTGTAGTTCCTTCTGATGTTGGCCCACCTCCCTGACTTTGTCTAAAGTACCACTTTTCACCCCCATTCCAGCAATGCTGAGCTTTTATTTAGTCAACATGTCAGTTTCATTTCTTTCCTCACACATACTGTTGTTACCTGAAACATACAGCCACTATCTTGTGTTTAAAATCTCACCCATTATGACTTCCCTTATGACTGTCCTTGCTTTGGGTCACCATCTAAAATAAACTTCCTGTCACATCTTTAAATTTTTTTCTGCATAGCATTTTGTAGCTAAGTTAAAAAACAAAAACATATATGGGTGTGGTGGTGCACACCTTTGCTCCCAGCACTGGAGGGGAGGGAGTGTCAGAGGCAGGTAGATGTCGGAGTTGGAGGCCAGCTTGCCTGGTCTACAGATTGAGTTCTATCTAGAACAAGCAGGGCTGTTACATAAAGAAACCCTGTCTTGAAAAGCTAAACCAAACCCAACCAAACCAAAAATTGTCTTTTTCAATATTTCCCTATCCTTGCCGCTAGAATGTGAATACCATACTTCTGAATTCCCTAGAGTCTTCAATTTTATTTATTTTTTTTTTGGGGGGGGGACAAGGTTTCTCTGTGTAACAGCCCTAGCTTTCCTAGAACTAGCTCTGTAGATCAGGCTGGCCTTGAATTTAGAGTCTACAATTTGCACAATGCATCTTGGTATTGGCCATAACTCACTGATTGGTCCTGATGGAAATCTTGGTCCTCTTTCACTGGGGAGTTGAACCCAGGACATACATAAATAGAACATTTTACCAGCCTGCTGGACACTAGCACTAGGATTCACTTAAAAAAAAAAAATGGGATTTACTTAATCTGTAAACCAGAAGATTAAGATAAACAATGTCTTAAATTTTTGTCTAGCTTCAATACAAGTTTTATAAGCCATGACAGAATCCTGCCATGTCTGTAGCAGCAGAATGGCCCTTTGTGCTTTAGTGTTTCTAGCCGTGCTATGGCAGTGCAAGGTGAGCCTTGGCACCGGACCATCAAGCCTCTGAATGTGCCCTGACAGCAGCTGTTGTCCAGCTCTCCAGTACCTGCTTTGTTCCTGGGCAAGTTTCATGGCTTCCTCCAGAGCCATCCTTGCTGCCGCCTCTTCCTGTTGCCTCCTTTCCTCAGCCTCCCTCCTGGCCTTCTCTTCTGCTTCTTTCTGCCGCTGGTACTCCAGCCGATCTTCCTCTGCCATTTCCATCAGGCGTTTCTGTTCTTCTGCTAACTGCATTTCCAGTTCCTTCTGCCTTTGCTTCTCTGCCTCTGCATGCAGAACAGAAAGAGGTGGGCCCAGCAGGGGGCACCACTAGAGCAGTTGGTATTTCCAGTCTACCTTTCCAACCTTCGAGAGACTCTGGGTTTGCTAATCCAAATCCTCTGGCAAAGCGCCTATGACTATTGAGCCTTAGGGAAGATTTTCCTAGACCATCATGGGGTAATGTATCGGGAGGAGCATCAGACCAGAGTCTAGAGAAACATGCTGACTTAACAAGACACAGACTAGTCTAAAGAGTGAGAATCAGGAATTGACTAGAGCATCATCTGCTGAACTTTACCCCTAGTCCAAGAAAGTATAGTGGAAGAGTATCTGATCCATACCTCAAGGTGGGGCCTGAGGATCTCCAGATATTTGTGACTATCTCTACCTGCCAGAGGAAGGGAGCGAGTAGAGCGGTTTGGGTAGCTCTTGAGCAATGCTGACAAGGGCAATTAATGAACCAGAAGTCCGATCCTGCATTCATTTCTACAAGAGTCTACCATTCCTACCCCATCCTTATATATCAACCCTCTATAGTCACACATAATTAACCATTCTGGAAAAAATAACAACTAGCTTACACATGTGGAGTGCTCTGTGCACAGAGGCCTAGGATAGCAATGAAAGAGTGCCCACAGTGGGTTTAAAATATTTTTGGTCCAAGAAATGGGAGATAGGAAAAACTTGGGCATCCTCTCACCAGCCCTCTCCACCTCCTCTTGTTGCCGTTTTCTCTGCAGTTCTTGAAGTTTCCTCCGGAGTTCCTCTTGCTGCTGCCGGGCTCTCTCCTGGGCCGCCTGCTGCTGGAGTCTCCGCTTCCTCTCCACTTCCTCCTGCCGCTGTCGTTCTTCCTCCAGTCTCTGCTTCCTCAGGCTGAGAACACAGGAGATGTCAGAGGAATGGCAGACAATACAGGCCAACCAACTGATACTTAACTTTGTAGCCTTCAGGCCTCAGGAAGCACCCCTCCAGAGAACAGGTTTCTACAGCCAGGATTGAAGGGCAGAGGTAAGAGACAGGGGTCTAGAGGACCAAACCTAGGAGTTTCAGCATATAGCTCAGTGCTGTTGCCCAGGATTTAAGGACCTTGGGTTTGCTACACTTTATTTTCTATTTTTAAAAGCTTCTTTTATGTGCATGGGTAGCTTCGTGCATGCAAACACATATCTCCTGGAACTGGAGTTAGACAGTTGTGAGCTGCCATGTGGATGCTGTGAAATGAACCCGAGTCCTCTAGAGGAGCGGCCAGCGCTTTTAACCACTGGGCCATCTCTTCGGCCCCTTTATTTTCTTTTAAAGTACTGATCTTGAAATTGTTGCCTCTTAAGGTTGTGGAGATTAAGTTTGAGTGAAGATCTGTGAAAGAGCCTAGTACAGGGCAAACAATGGCAGAAGCTTGATACACGGGCCTGAATCTCAGCACCTTCCCCCGAATTCCCTGTGAGCATCTATCTTGAGTAACCCATGTGGTCAAGACAGTAAGTATCTTATCGCTGGCCCAGGTTGTTCCTGTGATTTGATGTCGGCTCATGAGCCTTAGCACTGAGCTGTGCCCCTGGGGAAGGTGTGCCCTTGTATGTGTCTGGGGCTGTTGGCTCACCGCAGCTCCTCGGTGCGCATCCGCTGCTCCAGTTCCAGCTCCTCCTTCATCTTCTCCGCTCTCTCCAGCTGCTCCTTATGGAGCCGGGCCAACTCTTCCTGCTCCCTTCTCCTCCGCTCTACCTCCAGCCACCTCATCTCTGCCCTCTCTATGCGAATTCTGTCCCGAGAAGCCTTCTCCTGCTGCCTCTTATCCAGGAGGGCCTAAGAAACCAGAGTGTTATCAGGGTAAGGTACAGACTCAGCTGTAGCACAGATAGGGTTTTCTCTAATCAGAGATGAAATCCTGACGCTGAATCCACACTGTCTCTACCTACCTGCCTGGCTGTGAGGCTGGACTGACCTACATTCAAGTCTCCTCTCTTGTTGTTGGGGGAGTTTGGCTTTCCTGATAGGGTCTTCCTCATGGGCTATGTCCAGAGGTGCCATCATACTGTCCACTGTGTGAGAAGAAATGGCTTTTACAGACCTAGTTGCACTTCAGAACTACCCAATGATCTTTAAAATATGCCAGGACTCCACTTGGTCCAACAAGTGAAAATCTCGGAGATGAGGCTCCTGGAATTTTAAAAACTTGGAACTTGAAGCTGGTGCTGGAAGGCTGTTAAAGCAAGCAGCTCGGTGGTGGCACATGCCTTTATTCCCAGCACTCGGGAGGCAGAGGTAGGTGGGCCCATCTGTGAGTTTGAGGCCAGCCTGGTCTCCAGGACAGCCAGGGCTATACAGAGAAACCCTGTCTTAAAAAAATAAAAAAACAAAAAAAATAAGGCTGTTTTACCAAATGCTTTCTTGGCTCTAGAGGAGTCAGACTTAGTTAATGCCCTATTTTAGTGAATTTTTTCCCCCAGCTTTTACCTTCCCTTTTCTCTCCAATGCTGCCTCCTTCTGCAGTCACATTTCTAGGTGGGGGACACAGATAAACTCTCTTCTACCCGGAGTCCAAACTTTTTGGTTCTGCAGAGACCACATGCTATTATGGATTGACAATAAATCTAAGAAATTCTAATGATCTAGAAAATTCTGCTCATAGATTAAAATCTCCATCCATCCATTGTGCAGAGTTCTGCAATCTAGGCAGCTGAGAAGGTTTGAGGACACTAAGGGGAAAAGGTCCCTGAAACTTGGGGACACTGTGCCATTAAACAAACAAACAATTACTTAAAACAATGACAAGGATTTTGAACCTGGAGTGAACAGACCTGAGGTCAGGCCTTGGCTCTGCCCCTGAATGGTTGTGTAGTGATTGCTGTTGAACTTGTAGCTTTGGTCCCTGGGTGTGTAAACTGAGACTGACCACACTTGGTTCACAAGTGTGGGTGTAAAGATCAGTGCAGTGTACTGCATGCACCCATGCATCTGGACCCATAGAGGTGTGGCCTGTGTGCTCTGGTGTTTGAAGATATTTTGGAGTACAAAGTCTCCAAATGCAGTTGTGTGTCCTAGTGAAGATTCCAATAGCAGAAGAAACATGTGCTGAGAGATGATGTATGTGGATGCTATTCTTTTTGACTAATTACAGAAAATCCCAAGAATAACTTTCCTTATTTATTTTCCTTTTTCTTTCTTTCTTTCTTTCTTTCTTTCTTTCTTTCTTTCTTTCTTTTTTTGAGACAGGGTTTCTCTATGTAGTTCTGGATGTCCTGGAACTCACTCTGTAGAAGCTGTGCTGGCTTTGAACTCACAGAGATTCACCTGTCTCTACCTCCTGGGTGCTGGTATTAAAGGTGTGCACCAGCACTGCCTGACTCATTCGATTTTCTATTCAAACGTGCACCTTAGAACCAAGGCCACTGAAACACAGCAACTCATAACAAGCACCCTGAAAGCAGGTGCGTGTCTAGAAGCTGCCTGGTCCAGCTGTATGCCATAGCCTTTGCAATGTGCCAGGCCAAGGGGAGGATGTGGCTTGATCCTAACAGGAAGTATGTCTACCTTTCTGTATCCCAATGAGACACATACTTCTTACGGATGGCTCCCATATTTACCTCCTAATCTTTAGGGTTGGATACATTCCTTGGCAGTTTGAGGACTCATAGAATACCTCCCTTAACTTCAGAGGGCTGAAACCTATTTCCCGTGTCTTTGATCAGGTCTGGCTTCTAACGAGGGTCTGAAGGCACCAAAGTGGAACACGTAAAACCACCTTCGTGTGCCAGGTGCAGTGGCACACGCCTTTGATCCCAGCACTTGGGGGGCAGAGGCAGGTGGATCTCTGTGAGTTCAAGGCCAGCCTGGTCTACAGAGTTCCAGGACAGCCAGGGTTGCACAGAATAACCATGTCTCAAAAAAAAAAAAAAAAAAATCAGGTAATAAAGCTGTTTCATAATACTGCCCTATTTAGGGACATTTCCCTCACATCTACAGTTCTGCCAAGTGGGGACAGAGCTTCTTCTGGCCAAGAGGAGAGAACATCTGCCCATACCTTGGAAGGGTCTTCAGGGCTTCTCTCTTCCTCAGAACCCATGTTGCTAGTGACTCCTGTGGCCTGTGTGGGTGACGCTCTCCTGTCTATGGACACTTGGGTCTCCAGAGCATCATAGTCAGGAGAAAGCCAAGGGTCCTCAGTGGCACAGTGTGAATGGATGGGCCCTCTGTCTGAGGTGCCACCTGCTTCCTTGGAGTTGGTGACATCTGGCTCGCTCAGCTCTGCTGCCATCTCCACGTTCCTTTCTTTGTGTGTCCTTTTCACTTTGGTTCCTGGTTTCTTTTCTTTTGGGATGAGCTCTGGTTTCTTTTCAGCTTTTGAGTCCTTTGACTTCCCTGGGGAAACAATGGGGACGGAGGTAGCTGAGTAGAAGAAATGTGACCTCTATTCATCCTCTTTAGTAACATCTTTTCATCCTTCCTTCCTTCCTTCCTTCCTTCCTTCCTTCCTTTCTTTCTTTCTTTCTTTCTTTCTTTGTTTTGCTTTGTTTTTTGTTTTTGTTTTTGAGACAGGGTTTCACTGTTCGCCTTGGGCTGTCTTGAAACTCACTATATAGACCAGACTGGCCTTCAGCTCACAGAGATCCTCTTGGGTGCTGGGATTAGAGGCATGTGCCACCACTCTTGTCTCTTTAATACCTTTTAAGATCAGGCAGTAGGATAAAGTGGTATGTGTGTCCCCGAATGCATCCCCAGAGCCCAGGGGAATAGAATCTGTGCTGTAACAGTGATTTGGGAAGAGCAGCCTTGCATTATATTTAGGTCACTAAAGATGCACCACACAGCTGTGTAACTGCTTGAAAGATTGCAGCTCTGGCTGCAGATACAGCTAAAGGGTAGAGCATGTGCTTAGTATATAGGGCCCTAGGTCCCATCCCTAGGGCCTGAAAAGCAAAGAAAGGTCCCATGTGAGGTCCTATAAGGCACTAGAAGTACGATGGTAGGAGAACCCCTCAGACCATAGCTCGTTCTCTCCTTCCTAAATGCTCTCACTGCCTAGGCTGGGCATCCCTTTCCTGAGATGTTTGGGACCAGAAGCATTTCAGATAGGGGATGATTTCTGCTTTTAGAATATTTATACATACATTAAATGTGTATAATATAAAACCCTGGCATTGTTAATGCTTCATATACACTTTTGATCCTCGGGCTTGAAGGTGGTTTTATGTTTTTCTTAAAGTAGCAAGGGGTTTTATTCAGAACCAAAATAAAATTGTAGACCAAGTACACAGTAAGACTTGAGCAGAGTGTTCATGAGCCTTATCCAGTATTTTCAGTGAAGTCAGGCCCGTCATCTCCTCGTGTTGATGTTCAGGAAGTTTTATGCTTGGGGACATTTTGCATTTCGGCTTTTCAGATTACAGATCCCAGCCTGTAGATATTAGCTCATAGTGGCAGCAGTAATGATGTATACTGGGAGCCAAATAGGAAAGGACAAACCGTGGGTCCACTTTTCCTCTGGGGCCATTTACCCAACCTCTCAGCCTCAGGTACCCAAACAGCACCGTGGCACTCATTTCAACATGAGAGGGAATGCTGCTGCTATCATCATCCCCTCTCATGATCACCACAGGCCTCTACTGGGCATGGTTTCCTCTGCCCATGAACACTGAGACACTGCTATGAAATCAGGCTGCAAAGCCAGCTTGACCTGCAGGAGCCAAGCCCATTGTCCACATTACCTTCTGAGCTGTTCCTCACAGGCGTATTTCCTTACCTCCAGCAGCCTCTGCCTGCCCCGGGACCCTTCCTTCTCTCTCTGTCTTGGGTGCTCTGGCCTTGTTTGTCTTGGTTCTTTTCTTCCTCTTAGGCTTGTCAACTAAATCCCTTCCCTAAAGGAAGACATTCAGGAAGAGGACTGTGATACACATAGGATTTAAAAGGGTTTAACAAATGAAGATTTCACTGGAGGAACAAGGAGACGGTGACAGCAACGGCGACGGAGGCTTAGAATGGAACGAGTTCTGGATGAAGCAGATGGCCAACTTCAGAGTGTGGAGCCGGTGGAGGAAAGGGCACCTTTCATTGGAAATGATTAGGAATAATTTCAGAGGAGAGAAAGAAAAGCCCTTTACGGCCTGCCTTCTTTCTGATGTTACGTCATGCTCTGCAGAACTGTGGTCTGCTTATTTGCTAAAGCTGCCCTTGTTGGCTGGCTGATTAAACTCAGAGCCGGCTTTATACTCCCTGCTGCATCCCGTGCTAACTTTCAGAAAGCCCCAGACTGATAGCAAGAGCCATGCCAGCCTTTCCCTTTCCTTATGGACTGTGACGACATGGAGGTTCCCCCAAAAGAAGATGGCAGAGTGGGGCTGTGGTTACCCACTTGATAGTTTTGTAGGGTTTGGCGATGGGGGCCCTTGTCCTTCAGGAAGATGCAGCCTAGTACAAGGTGCAGGGCTCAGTGAGCAGACTGTCACCGCACCTCTGCCTCTACTGCCCCTTCAGTGAGGCGCTCTTGTTTTTATTTTTAAACTTTATTTTATGTGCGTTGGTATGAAGGGGGTCAGATCCCCTGGAACTGGAGTAACAGTTGTGCGCTGCTATGTGAGTGCTGGGAATTGAACTTCAGTCCTCTGGAAGAGCAGCCCGTGTTCTTAGCCGCTGAGCCATCTCTCCAGCCCCTAGTGAGGTACTCTGATCTACTAAGCAACCTTCAGAAGTCTAAGTGGAGCAGAGTTTCTGGACCAGCTTCTTCACTCTCACACTCACATGACTGCTGGCAGCTGAGGTCTGCTGCTTGAACAATTTTAGCTCCATTTTCTTATTCTTTTTGCTTGGAAGAAGAGATGCAGTCTCAGAACCAGGCTTCCCTGGGGATGCAGGCTCATGTTGTAGCAGTCCTCTGTGATCTCTGTCCCTTTGAAAAGAGCAAGGCAGAGACCAATTTAATGACCAAAACTCAGAGTGGGAGAAAGAGCCGGCGAATAGATTCCAACAGAAGGACATGTTCAGGCAACTTTCTCCTTCCGTTCTTGCATAAGGGAGATTAGAAAGGGGAGTCTTCACTTCCGGGGTGTCCTTAAGCTAAGCCCTAAAACGTAGGCATTTGGAGAGACAGTTTGCTTCTTCTCATTGCATATTTACACCTTTGATGGAGAGCTTGTTTGGAGGTTCTGTCAGGGATGCACAACTACCAGGGGTCCCTAGACCAAAGGAAGACAGGTCCTGTTCTGCCTGGGGAAGGTTGTCTTCTTCAGTGGAGCCCACAGCTTTGGGAGGGTCACACATAGAGTAGTGATAGAGGAAGGGGACACACACCTAGCCCGCCAAATCAACGTAATCAATCCTGGCGACCGATCGATTGGTGGGGTGACATGTATCGGTCAGATGGCCCTCACAGACAGAATTACATAGCTGAAATGTCTTCTGTCAAAGGCTTAGCTGGAAGGAACGTGGCTTTTAAGAAAGATGACCTCAAAAACGTGCAATTGTCCCTTTCATTCCCTTGCTTCTCTGAGTTTTATTCTTGATTCATCCATTACGAGGTCGTGTGTACCCAGTCTTGTGTGTCCTAGTGTCGTGGCTATCACTGACTTATGCCTGTGGGTGGCAAGGACGGCAGCATCGATGCCATGTGCCTGCTGGGTGCTGGCTCTCAATCTGGGCCTTCTTTTTCCTTAAATCAGTGTATTTACTGTGGCCTGCTAGCCCAGGGCCTTACTGTGGAAACTTGAGAAATACTTGTTGAATGAGGTAAATGGAATTTCCTGTAACTATTCGAGTCTTTAAGTCATTCAGTGACACTCTATAAAAACTCACAGAAGTCTGCTCCAGAATTGTGTTAGGAAAACCTCTTGTTTCCCCCAAGGAGCCAGCCAGCCAGCTGTAAATGAGCACCTCGGCCTGACTGTATTGCTGTTTTTCTCTTCCACATTTAGGAATCTGTGTTAAATCTGAGTTTTAGTCACAATAACTGTAATGAATTTTGTGAAGTGTTTTATGCTTTTTACTGTCCTCTTGATAAAAGGAAGAAAAAATCCTCTTATTTCATTGGTTTTGGCTAGGGAAAGGGAGTTGTAATGACCTGTTTAAAGTATGTTATGGGAAAAGGGATAGAAAACAAAACAAAACAAAAAAAAAAAAAAAAAAAAAAAAAAAAAAAAAAAGAAAGAAAGAAAGAAAATTCTTCAGCAACAGCCTCAATCATGGAGGCTCCCTTCTTTTGTATCTGATTTGGCACAAAAACCTTTGACCCAAGAGTTTATACTGCTGATCTCTAACTACCCCAGGCTCATGGAACCACAGTAAGGTCTAGTTTCAGCTGGTAGCAGAGATGTCTACAGTAGAGGCCATAACCAAAGGAGACTGAGGACAAAGGCTTGGGCCAGGCTGCCTGGACTGCTGGCCTGTGAGCTCATAGTAGGCACACAGGGAAGGTGTTCCTGTGTTGGCAGGCATGAAAAGAAGCTGTGATGGTGGCTGGCCAGCTTTGTTCTGTCCAGACCTAAGGAACCTGGCGGAACAGGATGTCCCCAGCCTTCCAGGGTCTTTGTAAATGTCACATGCATGGACACACCCAAAGTTGCTTCCAGGGTGGCCGAAGCTCGCTCTTCCCCACCTAACCTGGAGGACTTGGTTTAAGCAATGTGTAACCTATCCACCTGCCTGTGGCTTTTAATCTCAGCTGCCAGCATGTTGCCACAGGAATCTCAGGAAACAAACAAACAAAAAAGCAGAAACTAAATTAATGAAAACAAAACCCATGGAGGATGCAGAGAAGCCGCTCTTGCTACAGTTGCATACTTACCAGCTTGTCAAGGTGTCAACCTCAGAGGTCTGAGTGTACTCAGCCACGGCCACCACGGCCACCGGAGGACTGAGGGGGTCAAGGGTCACACTCCTAGGCTCTGTGAAAACAGGGTATCCTCCATTAGCAAACGACCCAGGTAGTTTTCCCAGGAGGAAATCCGGCAAGGGGAAATGTCTACTAGTGAGTTCTGAGCAGTGCAGAAGACAGGGAAAAAGCTGCCAAAGGATCAGTGCTGGCTGTGGCAAGTGACACTAAAATTACTAAAATACCCTTCAGGAAAGTAATAG